TATTTCTGGTGTTCGGGCTCATAGCGAAGGGGATATAACGGCCTATAAAAACGTATTGGTCTAAATTGACTTTTTTTTTCAAAAGTCGTGAATTTCTCAGTTGTTGACGACGAAAAAATGTATAGTGATTTGTTACTTTTATTCACTGGGCCAAATACGCAAGAGTCCGTCAGTTAGCACTCTTTTGGTAGCACAAGATTATCATCATGTCAAGTCAAAATTCTACTTTTGCAACAGGCTGATATTGTCGTCGTATTGACCTACAGAGGTCACCCTCTCCTACTTCAAAATATTTAACTCGTTTTTTTTTTATTTAAGCTTATTCTAAACGGTGCGAATTAAAGCCAGCAGAGTCGATATAACGTTCAAAATACTTAACAAAAAGTTCAGAAAAGCACAGTCAAGAAAATGCTGGAAAACACCGGCATGTTGTTTCTTTTTTAATTTCGGCGTTAGTAAGCAGGTGTGAAATAGATCTTATGTTTTACAGTTAAAGGCCAAGCAACTATTTATAAAAGATTAAACTCTATTTCAAACATGCCGAGGCTACCTTCAAGATTTTAATGCGAACAGTGTCTCCCTTTCCCTTTTTAAGGCAAAACGTGAAATTCCGCCACAATATTTTACAGCTACAAGACCAAACAAAATAGAAGCTTCACTTGCTATTTCATTATTCCTCTTACATGTAAGAATATGCAGTAATAAAAAAAGAAAAAAAACGTCTTAATTTAAACCTTTATGAAATACATACGTATAAACTATATAAATGAGATACATACATACGTATAAACTATATAAATGAGGAGGTGCGTTCTCATGAGTCACCGCAAAAAAACAATTGTCATAAAACCACAGAAATAGAATTATTGCAAAGAAAACACTTTTTATCTGCTTGTCATGTTCGCGAGAGAAGTGGATACAGCTCAAACACAGGATTTCAGGAATCAAACCCTTTTTTGTCAGCCTTCATTAAATGTCCATAATCTAACTGGTGTTAAATAAACATCAGGCTGGCGTCATTAAGTAGCAGAAGCAAGACATTGGTACTTGGATGTCTGCTTGTCGGGTAACAGGTATACTCCTTGTGCCATTTGGAAATGACAACATTGGCCAACAGAATGAATTCCTTGCGAGGTTTCGGACGCCTTTGGAAAAATGGGAATTCTCGTTTTAGAAATATTCCAAAACGTCGCGATGATATGATCAGCACCGCCGGTCTCTTCGGGGTTGCTTAGTTACCTTTGGGAGGAAAAGTCCAGTTCCTGGTTTGCAAGGTAAGCGATTCACGCGATCTCTGCGGAGTTACTTCCGATTGTCTTCTTCCGGATGAATGCGCAGGGCACAAACAGGTCAAAAAACGCCCACTGACGTCCTAAAGATGCTCAAGGTTCTTCACTAACAAAAAAAATATATATATATACAAATTTCAACATTCTCAAAAACTTAGAAACATGTAGCAATTGGCTGATGTACTGCTCCCCGGGAGCAAGGCTGCTAACAATCATCTCAGTACTGTGAAAGATATGCAAAATATTCAGAATTTCGTTAATACACTAACAAATATGCCACAAGAAAAGAAAAAAAAAGGTTTAAACGGACCTTTGTGGCGTAACTGACAGTCGTGATACAAGCAAACGTTATAATAAAACAAGTAATGGGCTAAGAATCTTCAACGGATATAACCGATGCATTTCGTTTTATTCAAGTGACTTTTTTTAAAATCTACAATACCATTTTAACTATTCATGTAAACTTCATACCATTATATTGTCAATGATTGTGCTACTGCACTTTTTTCCTTGTAATCGGTTCTACTATGGCACATTCGAAAGCGATAGAAACTTGGCGATAGGAACATATTATAATTGCTGTTTAACAAAAGCTTTGAACACTGCAGTTTAAAAGAGGCTTTTAAAAGAAAACGCTTCACTGATGTTAAAATGGAAAAAATGCTCGTTTAGAAACAGCGCATGAAAAAAAAACCCTGCAAATGCGAAACACATCCACAAGAAATTAAAAATAAAACGGATTAGTGACATTGTCATTGGAGATGCTTATATGGACAGTAAATAAGGAATTTAAATTAAATATACAGTGAAGAATAGATTGAACAGGGAACAAATTGATTAAGCAATGTAAAACCTGTATTTTCCGAACGGTATTGCTTAATTTTTTGGGGAAGGCTACTAACATTTACAAGACTGTTTCATCTGTGCTGGGCGATCTGAATACTTGACAGATAATTGTTTTAGATGTTAAAAGCAAAACGTCACAAAACATAGTCCCGTTAAAATTGTCGATTTATCGGTTTAAAAAGTTTGCAACGTTTTTTGCACTAAGGTGTAAGTCACCTCGCGGCGCACAGGGATGAAATGTGAAATACACAGCACAGAGAAGACTTCAGAAACGCAAGCATATATAAAATGATAGAATTCAAACCACATACCTCAAATATAATTTAAATCCTGATACATGCAAATGACGTAAAGTCACATTATTAGAAGTGCAGATTTGCAGTACTTCTCCGATTCCGTCTTACTGCGATGCTGCTAGAAGTCACTAGGCGGCGCTAGAGACCTGATGGAGCTCCGTGGTCTCTTGCCTGCTGATGCTGCAAAGAGACGAAACCGTCAGTGGAAGCGGTTCTCTTGTCGTTCCTCTTCAGGTACAATTCGATCTAGAAAGAGTGCTTCTTAACAGTCCAAGTTATTCAAAAATGGAAACAGATTAACATGCAAAAATAGCCGAAGTGCGCGCTGCTTTTCCGCTTATTCTGTTCACCAAAAAAAAAAAGCAGAACACCCTCTGGGGAAATGACATGAATTAGATGTATGTAATGTCTGATTCATTGCCTTCTGCAACTGCTCAGTGTGTAATCGGTATAAGCTGAATTGTTTTCCGCTTGTTTCGAAGTCCCTCTCTTTGCAGCAGTACTGCAGATGTGCTCAAGAACAGGGGTGTCCTGCCCAGATCTAGATATCAATAGAATCTCAAGGGCGTCTTCGAATCACGCCGAGCTAATTATTCACAGCCTATTAAAAAAAAACAACAACAACATTTCGTGATAATCATTGTAAACTTTCTCTGAAAAACCTCCACAGAAAAGGATGCAATCTACATATAATTTCACGGTGTCATTCCCCAGAAGTCGTTCTGCGGGCATTTTGATTAATGTGGAGTTAATGTATTTGTTTAAGAAACAGACGTGTCGATTTTTAACGCCACTTGGCAAAAAGATTCCGTAAAAATGCGGCCGGGATCGAATAACACGTTAATTAAATTATATTGTACTGGAATGTTAATTATTTGAAACAATTGAAAAGCCAGTTTCCGATGAACCTTCCGATTATACTTCATGGAATAACCCTGGGCATTTTGGTAGAGATTATTCTTCGATTAATCGACCATCAGAACACTGTCGTGTATTAACAAATTATTTTTCTTGAAATGAATTTTATAAGCAAAAAGTTATGTTTGTTTTCTTTTGCCTTTATAAAAGCTGTTCGCACACATTACGGAGAACAAATGACATGGTGGAAAAAAGAGAAATTATTTTTTTTAAATTAAAGTTATCCGGTTTGAACTACAATCATTGCAACTTTCCTAAGTTTTATTTAATGACTGATATAATATATGCTTGTAATAAGACATTGTCTTAGATTCACTGAATGTTTTTAAAGGGTCGTTTCTTGTCACTACGGGCACCTGTTCCCGTTAAAAGTATTATATTTTTATTCTCAATGTTGTTGGGTCTTTGTCGTATTTTTGAGGGAGGTGTTAATAATATGCCAACTCTTGCATTGTTCATTCATGTTTCGTGTATGGACAAATAGCTCGGTTTCAGTATTGTAACTTGTGCCTAGCAGAAACAAGACTATTATTTGCATAACGTTTAGTCGTCTGACTCCTGAGATATTTAATGATCCCTGAAGATTAAGTGAATCCTGAGATATTTAATGATAGATTATACTGTGTTTTTCCGCAGTAGACAAACATGTCGCAGTCTAGCTATTATCAATGTGTGTCACACAGTAGGTGCTCACATTATATCACAGACATACAGTATTATTCAGTTATGCACACTGATATAAAGGCTACGTGTGTCTGTTAAAATGATAACTACAGTGTTTCCACTTTAACCGAATGTTCCCTAATATTTTTATATAGGCACGACGCAAGTTAGAAGATAAAAGATAAAAGATGACAGTCTCACAGAAGAGTAAAACAGGGCGTTATGATGTGGCCATAATTATACCACCGAATGTACTCTGCTTGATAAACGCATACCAAGACTGTTTTTCTCAAATCTGTATTTTTTTGCATTTGAGTTTTTTATGTATATACTACATTGTTATCTGAAATTTACCTGGAAATCTGTATATTAGTAATCCTTATATTGAGAGGGAATCATACAGGACTGTCTTGTAAAATATATGTCGTTTTTCGTTACTCAGAACAGCGAATAATCAAAATACTACTTTAAGTTGCTTATTATAAATATACGATACTGTGCGAAATAAGAAGAGTTTTGCATTCTGTCTGAAGCCTGGTTAATCTTAAACTTGCTTTGCGCTAATTCAGCTGATGAGTGCGGTTCCTGCAGTCTTGCATTTGTACATTGGGTGCTTGTGAAATTCATCTTACAACTAAGGACAGACGGGATGGAGGGAGTGTCTGTGTTCACATACAAATCTTGCAAAAGCGAGTAAAGTAGCGCCGTTCCCTACCGAGGTGACAGGCGACTCTTTTATTATTCTGAACAAGATCGGGACACCCCAAAAACTCCCTCGACGTGTACGGAGCGCTTCCCGTGTGCCGCACGCTAGAGTCGGAGCCTCGGATAAAGAAATACCAGGGCTTACGTTGTAAAGTCAAACGACCTACGCGTAGAGAGTTGAACGGTGTCCCCTTTTGAATCGCAGTTGCTATCCAAACACAAACAAACAGAGAGGAGCATTGGAGTTAATCACCCGCAGAAGGCGTGTCCGAGGGCGGGCGCCCAGACGCGCTGCCCGGAGCTCTGAAAAGTGGGAGACCTGACGTCCACCAGTCACACCAAAGTCTAACTCCGGCAGAGCGCGGGCCGGGAGCACGGGTGGCCCAGCAGCGAACCACCGCGGATTTGCGCTACACTCTTCACACTGCGAGAACTGGTCGCAGATTTGCCGTTCACTGGTTTTTTTATCCCCCGTTCATTCCCCACCCCCCACCCACCATGAACTTTACATGGAAGACCGTGGACGGCTGTTGCTGACGTTTAATTGGAGTTCAACGCTTTGCGCTAGATCGACCTTGTGGATTAATGAAATCCGGCAGCGTTTACTGCAGGCGACAGTGGGCATCCTTTTACTGTGGGGTAAGAGCTCTATCGCGCGTTTCATGAAAAGGAAAATATCCGAAATGCAGGGTTGATAGAATGTAACAAGTACTGCGTCTCCCTGTGCAGGAGTTGTCTGCGATCCGTGAGATTTCGGAGGCTCACGGTGTTAAAAGCTCTAACGATAAAATAGAGGCTTCATAAAAACAATACAAAAATGCATTTATTCATATTTCTACAATATACGAACATAAGAGACAAATATAAAGCAGTTCAATGACCGTCGTAAGTAAAACTGTTAAGGCACCATGTAGATAATAATTTTAATTTACTCCTGCGTGTAATGGTGACTTTTGCTGTCTCAGGACTTACTTGAAAAGTATGCACTGTGGCTGGCGCGCACACATTTCAATAGCATTTAAAACTGATTATATTGGACCCGCTGCCATCAGGACAAATGTTTACAAACAGCAACCGAGCCCCAGCGTTTTGAACGGCTGTCAGTCACTGGACAAAAAAAATGAGTTGGTCGATCGCGCTCTTGGGAGGTTAACAATATCACTTTCCCTTCGCTAACTGTTGGGTTATAGGCAGAGAGGCTAAAGGCGAAATGCAGGGAAAACTAGCCACGTTTTTTTTTTTAGCGATGATGAGGAATGCACAATCAAGGCATCGGTTATGGTATGAGTTTCGAGAACACGTGGGAGCAAATATTGTTTCGCCTAAATGACCTGTTTTCTTGGCTTCACGGCGTGGGCGTTCAGACGTTGCCTAGCCTGTGTTTGCCCATAAAGCAGGGACGATTCGAGTTTAAGCCGTGTTCGGACAGAAGCCTGCGTTCGTTTCATATAATTAATAAGAATTATAATATGAATAAAACAAGCGACTCAAATAGCAATTAAAGACCCGATATTCTAGAGCAATTTAACAGCAGCCCCATAGTAAGAATTTGAGCTACAGAGTAAAAAATAACCCAACGATTATTATCCATAATTTATAATTTTGCAAAGTCTCACACATTCAACCGAAACGTTACCTATGCCTTTTCTCTGGTTAGGAAAATACTTTTCGTTGGTATATATTGATACCAGAACTAAAAAAAAAAAACTTTTTTAACAGGCGACCGATCAATATGTAACTATTGTTTCAAAAACTGAGTCACGAAAGTACTATTCACGGATTGTATCCAAAAATAGTTTAGCGCCTGACTGTAACTTGAAATAGATCCATGAAACCGCTGGCTGAATATTAATTTTACTACCACTGATGATAACTACTGATAATAGTAGTAGCAATAATCTAAATAAGTGGTCAACTGATCGTGACATTTATATAAAAAATAACCGTCATTATTATTATTATTATTATTATTATTATTATTATTATTATTATTATTGTATCCTGTGATCGATCTGGTTAGCGATAAGTTGAAGCGGTCTTGGAGCTACGAAGCCGAGGCACGCTCCAGCGGCTCGCGCGCAGTCCTCCCGCCCTCGGCAGCTCGAGCCGGCGGAGACCGAGTCCGGTCGGTACCGGCGGCGGTCCTGGGTGGGAGAGCGCTTCCTTCCTCCTCTCGCTCCCCACTTTTAAAAGTCCTTATCGGTAAAAGCTCCCGAGCTGCGATTACTAATAGTCCTAATGGCCCGACTTGGATGTCAAACGTTGCGTTTTGAAACCATTAACAGTTGTAAACACCGCAGCGACTGCATGCTGAAGTTCTGACTCGACGCGAGAAAAGTTTGTTATTCAGATGAATGCATCTTGCTCTTATTTTTATGTCTTAATCAATTCCATTTACAACACAACTGGCGTACAGGACAGAAGAAGTTATTCTTTTTCATCAACCTACTGGGCCCCGTGATATTCCACTCCTTAAGCAGCACATAATTTTTAAATGTGGCAAATAAAATTTAAAACGTTTGTGGGAAATGGGAAAACATTCGCGTGATTTAATGTACATAGTACCAACCTCTGTTAAAAATGCATTTGGACTTTTGTGTTCAGACTTGCGAGTTTATGGAGATGTTTAATAGTTCATTTTCTTCCTTTTACAAATTCAAATTCACACACGCTTACATGTATGTACAAGACTGTCTTCCTTCGCCTGGAGCTGGAAATCTTTTTCTGGGGGCAAGTAACCATATGGAATAGATCCCCCACATTGTAGATTTAATTTATTTAGTCGGTCACATTAGGAGTGTGTTGCTTTTCTCTCCTTCGGTTATGTAGACGAATGGTTACTCCAAAAAGGAAAATAAGGCCAAAACCTTCTGCGCAGACACCCGCACCTCCCTGGCTCCAAACACTGTCTTTCTAATTAATTAAAACTTGCAAGTTCTTACAATTCCTCCTCCCGACATTACATTTAATCGAAAGTGAGAAAATTCTCTCTTAAACCAGCGACTTCAAAAAGCTGTCGAAAATCAAGCCTGTGACCGTCACGGTGCAAGATATATATATAAAAAAAATCCCTGTCTCTGTTGTGAAAGTTCTTCGGGCTCCCAGTTCTGAAGGTTATAAAATGAACGAAATTGTCCGCTGATTTTAAGCGAAATAAAAGACAACTTTCAACGGTAGACTTTAAGCTTCACGTTGGAATTGTTCAAACAAACAAACCAAAAAAAAAAAATCCTTGGAATTCTGTGGAAAAATTCCCTCCTGAAAAAAAAAAACTTTTCAACAAAACAAAAAAACGAGATCACCAGAACAGAACAGAAATCGCCTCGACGCGTTAAAAAGGGTCTAAATGTCACTTCCAAAACATTTCCCACACGTGGGAGCCTTAAAGGGAATTCGCCTTCGTGGAACGTTTTAACTCCCACCTTTTCTTTTGGCTCTCGGATCTAAAATGATCGCCCACAGGGGTATCTGGTGATTGCCGCCGAGTTGGAACAAAAAAGCATTTTCTTGTTTTCTTTAAAGAACTTAAAAGTGTGTTGCCCACTTTTGTCCATTAACAGGCCTGGGTGCGCTATTTTTTTTTTTGGCGGGGGGGGGGTTCTCATACCTATTAAATAAGACCCTGCATGTACACTTAGCTGCAGAGTGTGTGTATTCAAATGTATTGAATTGTATTTGTTCCCCTCCCCCTCAGGGACGTTAAGCAGTTGACCAGAGAGTTCTGCAGAGGCCGGCTCCCCCACCCGCAGGTGAAGATGGGAAGCAAAGCGCTGCCGGCGCCGATCCCCCTGCACCCCTCGCTGCAGCTGACCAACTACTCCTTCCTGCAGGCGGTCAACACCTTCCCCGCCACCGTGGACAGCCTGCAAGGCCTGTACGGCCTGAGCGCCGTGCAGACCATGCACATGAACCACTGGACGCTGGGCTACCCCAACGTGCAGGGCCTGCGGTCCACCCTCACCGAGATGGCGGCGGCCCAGAGCCTGATGGACGCGCGCTTCCCCTTCCCGGCCCTGCCGTTCGCCGCCGCCCACCTCTTCCACCCGAAGCAGGGCGCCATCGCCCACGTCATCCCCGGCCTGCAGAAGGACAGGCCGCGGTTCGACTTCGCCAACCTGGCCATCGCCGCCACCCAGGAGGACCCGCCCAAGGCCGGGGAGCTGTCCAAGCTGACGGGGGGCCTGGGGAGCCCCATGTCGGAGCTGAGCAAGCTGTCGCCCGACAGGAAGCCCAGCCGGGGCCGCCTGCCCTCCAAGACCAAAAAGGAATTTATTTGCAAGTTCTGCGGCCGGCATTTCACCAAGTCCTACAACCTCCTCATTCACGAAAGGACCCACACCGACGAGCGGCCCTACACCTGTGACATTTGCCACAAAGCCTTCAGAAGACAAGACCACCTTAGGGACCACAGGTAAGGGTGTTCTGGCAACTAAACCTAGCCGTAATGGTTTTGTTTTTTTTCTAGTGAAATATTGTAGTCATTAGCCATTGGGAGATTTGTTTAGAATATGTCGTGGATGAGAAAATGTAGACTATAGCCTTCCAGAATAAAGAGTTAATCTTAAAATACATATAATTTAATTTAGGATGATGATAGTCATAGGGATATTAGCAAGTTATCTATTTTGGCTCATTTATCGTTGGCAGTTCAAAGCAAGGTCCCAGATCTTGGTAAAATATTGGTATTATTGGTCAAATATTTGAGTTCCAAACGTCTGAATTGTCCCTTGCCGAGTGCAGAGCAAGGGAGTGCGGGCTGACGGGCCGGAGAGCTCTCTCGCTCTTGCAGACGGGCTGGCCTGTAGTTCTAGTCCGAGGCCTGAGAGGGCGCTCACGTCCCGCGTGTCAGCGAGCGGCAGTTCCCTCGCCCTGCAGAAAAACTGCTCCGAGAACGTCTTCAGCGCCACCGCTGCAGAAATTCAGAAACCCGTTTAAGGGACTGCTGTGTGAGTGGTAAGGTGTTTTTTTTTTTCTTCCTTTCGGGGCGCTTCCACTAAACCAAACTCGTGTATTGATTTTCAGGTACATCCACTCCAAAGAAAAACCGTTCAAATGCCAGGAATGTGGAAAGGGATTTTGTCAGTCGAGAACTTTAGCTGTGCACAAAACATTACACATGCAGGTAAGCTCAAGTGTTTTAATTACCTTCCACCGTTTGCCTTGTGCAAATCAAAGCATTCCTTTGATCCAGATAGACTGGGTGAAGAAATAAAGCAAAGATTGGTTATATTAAGATATTATTTGATCATTCTTTTTGCCTACAGTTTGATGTAAATGTGTATAAATAATGTACACTTTCAGCTTCTGTGGTATTTTATAGGCCTGTGATAAAATACGCTATCAATACGGAACTTGTTGACTCTTGTCTATAAATAGATTCACATTTTGAAGGGAGAACAAATTTTAATAGCAGTTCAAACAGACTGACGTTCTGTTTTTTTTATTAATACTCCACCGTTTATGTGGAAAATATCTAAATATAGTGACATGTAAAATATGGCACATAACGGTACCAAAATACACCTGGAGCACATAATTTGCTGTGCTAGTAACTGTTAACAAGGTTTGCAGTTTTCTCTGATGTGATATGTATTCTACATGATTGAACTTAGAGCTACAGCTTGTCATTGTGAAGAAAGTGAACGCTTGCCTACTTGTGAAGTAAATATTGAATAAAAAATAATAGAAATGACAAACGGAACGGAAAATCTTTGTAAAGGATTAATCCTTTGCTTGCTTCAAATCTAAACAGGAATCACCTCACAAATGCCCCACATGCGGAAGAACCTTTAATCAAAGAAGTAACCTGAAAACTCACCTTCTCACCCATACAGACATCAAGCCTTTCAGCTGTGACCGGTGTGGAAAGGTGTTCCGGCGCAACTGTGACCTGCGAAGGCACAGCCTGACACATACTCCTCCGCAGGACTACTAACGGCTATAACTATTGGAGCCAATGCCTCTTGTGGGGAGAGAAAAAAAAAACGTATCGGCAACCAAAATTAAAAACGAAAGCAGGACTAAAACAGCAACAAGAAAGTTTACCGGCATCACAAACGGGACTGTAAGGACGGATACAAAACAGAGCGAAGGACTATCCGACTCTGCGGAAAAGAGTTGATCGCTCGCCGTGTACATACCATGGCTCGATTTCAGAGCTTCTGTAAATAACTTTTTGTACTGTCCTTTTTTATATATAAAACGTGTACAAAAAACTAATTTTGGAAATATGCTAAATGTATTTTAGAAATAAAGAAAATCTACTATTCTCAATTTGTGTTATGCTGTTATTATTTAGATGTATGCGCTTCACCTTTTTTTTTAACTCTTGAAGGGGTCAAATTGATCTTAAACGCTTGGCACTGCAGGTATCAACGTGACAATCGTTGCCCCGAAACAGAAAGATTAAAAAGATTAAACAAAAAAAAGTTCCAAGTATTTGATATTCTCATTCAGTAAGGATGGACACGCAAACCGTTTTATTGGCAGTTTTGTACATGTTTGCACCGTGTAAAGTAATTCTTTTACAAGTGTTTTAGATGTTTATTCTTGAAAATGTAATGGGGGCTTCGCTAGCGCCCAGGTGTTCTTAGTAGCGGTTTCATTCAAAGGCAGACTGGTGATCATGTCTCACGGAGATTTCACTTGTGAATGAAAAGCTTCGCGATTGAGTGAAAATTAAAACTTTCAACATTTAGGGCAGCAAAAACTTTGTTTTTTTATTGTGAAAATTGTTGTTCACTTTTTAACTTTAAAGCTGTTTTTTATTTTATTTTGCTGGTTTACAAGGGGGCCTTTGGCCGAGGCCGTCATGTGTTGTCTTCATTTGCTGTGTTTTTGCCAAATGAAGTTAAGCGTGAAAGCATGAGGCATTCAAAAGATTGTGCTTTATTTCTCTATTAACAGCTATTAAGGGTTTTCTTCCCCTCGATGTCACAGAAATGCGCCTTAATCGAAACAATACGTTTTTGCTTATTCCGAAATAGATTTTTTTTTCTTCTGCTGGGGAAGCAAGTTTTCAGGTTCCGCTGTTTATTACAGGATAAACGGTCGAGAAACGAGACCCCGCAAGCAGGTATAATTCAACCGAGCAGAGGCTACAACGAGCCTTGGGTGAATCGGAATGTAACCGGTTAGTAGTCTAATGTCAAGCCTTCCAAAAATAGTACGTGCTGCAGACCTGGGTGTCCAGTCCCCCTTTTCGGCTGCTACTCGTTTTGGCGCTCGGGCAGTTTTACAAAATAAAAGCACAGGAGTTCAATATTTTTCTGTCGTTGATTTTATTAACTATTAACTAATGTCAGAAAGAGGGTCTCCGGAAAGTCATAGTTCAGCGGACCCGACAACGTGAATGTATGTACTGTGCCCCAGCAGGCAAGGTTAAAACCGAAAAAACATTACCCACTATTTATCAGAATAAACTGGAATGTTTAAAATATCACATAGCTGGCATAGACCTGTGTCGACCTACACGTCCGTAGAGTCTTCCGAGAGTCTAGTTACGCCGTGTTTCATGTTCAGTGATGAATCCCGGTATTTGCATGGAGATCTCAACGTGTGTAACCGTTGATTTGTCACAATAAATGTAGTAGGTCCCGAGGAGTTTATTGTTAATTGTCCATTTAAAGGAAAACGAACAATTCATGTAATGCTATACTTTCTGTAAAAAGAACTGGTTTAAACTGTTGTTTTATTTGCTTAGTTTTTTTTTGTATGTTACTGTTCTTAAGGGAAAAAAAATCAGTACCGTATTTGCCCTATAAAGCGATGCACAGGTCACACAAGGATACATCGCAACAACTAAATCAACCCCAAATCACAGCTGATTGACAATATGCAAGTGAACAACATGGTTTTAATTAAAGAAGTAAAAAAAAAGAACGTGTGAAAAGGAAATGGAAAAAATACAGGTTTATATTTAGGCAGTAATTAACTTAAGACAGCTGTCTGTTAATATGTTACGCTCTTTTAATTTTAGAACGAAACGTGTTTTTGGTGTCGGAACACAAATTGTATTCTTTTCCATACGTTTTGAATAAAACCTGTTTAAATTTATCGTCCGTTGGGCCTTTTTTTTCCCTTTTTTTGGAACAGCTTTGGTTGAATCTAAAAAACCCCGGAGAAATGTGTGTCTTCGGCATGTCAGACAAGTGATCTGCCAGTGAATCGTTTCCAGAGCGCCAATATTCTCAGTACTTCACCGAGTATTAATAAGCGTTTCTCTTTCTCATGAAAGGCGGATTCCGCTATGTAGGCCCGTGTGATAGGCCTAATGCTTCCAGGTTTACACTTCCGCGTTACCGAATCAGAAACGAAGAGATTCATTTGCCTTAAGCTATGAGTTGTAAAATGTATCTCAGTGTACAGCGCGCAACACTTTGAAATCTGTTTCAGGGCTGACTTTCTCCTGCTTTTGTCCTTATGATTGAAGGCCGCCATGTGTTCTCTAGCAGAACCATTCATATTGTTAAAACGGGACTAATAACCCTAATCAATTACAGTAAAAGCATCGAAAATACATTAAAAAAACAATATATTGAAATTACATTTATGTTTCAGTAAATTAATGACCTACAACTGAGCCACGTATGGGTGGATTGAGGCAGTAGATATTACACAAAAAAAACATTTTATTATGTGCACTTTCACGTTTTATTTCTCAAATAAGGCCAACTATTAGAAAGAAATATGTAATAAACGAAACAGCTGCTTCGCGAAACATGAGAGTCGAAATCGTCCCTTTTTTTTGCTTGGGGTTTCTCCAGGTCCGTGCTGTCCGCACTCGCTCTCCCTAATCCTCTCCCTAAAGCTCTCCTTGTTCTGGTCCACCTCAGGGCCGGAGAGAGCCGGGACGTTAACCTGCTGCTTTTCTGTTGTGTGGAATAAAAGCTCCTGTTCGGAAGATGGACTGGGGTTTTATTCTCAAAGGGTACAGGCGCTCGAAGGATTTCATGTAGCTGGGCATCTGAAAGAAAGCACCATTCTGATAAAACCGAGTAATGTGTGAGACAGGGGCTGACAAGAATATTTAAAAGTATTTTCTTGTGCGCCATGTTTTAAATGGAATCTTTCTTAAATGGACTGGGAACGTAACACAACAAGCGGCGCTATTTAACCCCAAGTCCTGTTATAATAAAATCTATTTTGAAGTGAAACTTCTTTTCCCTGTTTGTGTTGAATCAGTATTAATAATAAGAGTATTTTTTATATCTAAGCATTGTATGATTCAACCTACTATCATTTCTAAAATGTGCAACAGGGGCCTAAATATTATAAATATATTTTATCATATCTATATATCAAAGCAAATGACTAGTAAATGTTGCACCGTTAAAGATTGTAATTTTTTTTAATTCGTGTTTATTGGTAAGCAAGTGCGAGTTAGGAGCTACTTCCACGAGTGTGTTTCCTTTAAAGAGTCGCGGGTACTGTAGCCCTGAAAAGCGCAATTTGAGCTCCACGCCGGAGCTTTCAAGAGTGGGGTATGCATGCCTGCTGTTTGCGTGAGCGATAAAACGGGCACACGTCATAAACTCACCTTGGGATCTGTTTACTGTCCAAGGAATAAAACGCGCTCTTAAATGTGACTGACACGTCGCCCCTGCCGTCACTGGAGAAGCGCTTGCGTCTCCTTGCCTGTCGCCGCAAGAAACGAAAAAACGGCGCACTTCAAAAAAAGACACGTTCATTTGGACTGCATGAAGGATAAATACCTACGAAAAAGGTCGAAAATAAGATATTTACAAGAAATAAAATCACCCACGTTCTAGCATGTACGAAATGCACCTGTGCGATAAGTCTGGTATTAATCAGAAAGCACTGAGACTGTCTTGGCATTAGGCTGCGCTGAAGGAAGAAAGCAAAGACTGTAAAAGCACCCGTGCGCAGTTCAGCTACTAACGTCCCCGGCTTCTGAGTAAAAGACTGTAACAAAGACAATTACGAGTACTGGGTTAATGACTATACCTATAATAATAATGGTACTAATAATTACCATACTGACAGATACTGCATTTTACTGCTAATGTCCTCCTGCCCAATGCAAATTTCTTATTAATTCAAATAGGGTGTTTTATTATTCTACCCTTAATGAGTCGTGACCTCCTTTATCCAATTATTCTAGAAACGGCTACAGCCTTAGTAGTTTTCGATTAAATGTGCAGAGTACACTATGTCAGATTTATAGTATTACACGTTAGCGTATTTATGAATGAAACAACACACCAGGCAGTGCAGATATTATTATTTGTATTCTTATTAGTAGTCGTAGTAGCTATTGTAGTAGTAGGTGCTGTTATTGTTAAAACATGAAAGAATAAAAGGGAAATATATTAAAACATTTACTTGTTAACTTTTTTGTCTTTCCAGAGCCCAAAAAGAAAGCTTCAGTGTAAAATCTTAACGGAAGCCTACGCATGTGTAAAAAAACACATTTTTCATTAAAGCTCCTGAGATAAAAACTGAAATATTTAAAACAGAATGGAGAGAAAACTCAGTTCGTGTAGTTAGGACGACGGACTTTACAACATTTTCTTTCTTATTGTTTCTTAAAATATTATCATTTAAAGCAAACACACAAAACAGATAGCCGTTCCCTTTTATCGCGTGCTTCTGTTTTTTTTAATTAAACGTAATTTTAAAGCTTAAGACTGTTTCTCACAGTCGCGGGGGATAGCAGAATAAAATACAACTCCGTTCGATAACGAAAATTCACGTTTCCATCAACGAAAACATTTCAATAGGGCTATTATCAATGTATGTTCAGTTTTTAACAAACCCGAGAAACAAATACAGTTTTAAATGTAAAATCCTATTCTCTGCTACTATGAAGGAAACGTTAGAACAACTTTATTGTCTCTTGTATGCAAAGAATGTTGGTGTATCACTCAATAAACCACAACCACTTTGCGCCAGCTGTCAGACTTTTAACACTCAAACGAATAACTTGTTTCAAAACCGTAAACCGTAATCTTGAGACAAATAGGTTACAGAGGAACAGCGCTCATGATGACATACCAGCAGCCTGCCCTGGTGAATCACAATGCAATCAAAAAGCTGTCATTCACAATTAAAAGTTTTCGAAATTAAACATCAATGAAAAGATATCCAGTCGTTCCCGATCCTATTGTCGATTATAAGGACAATTTTACTATATATGAAATTATAGGTCTGCACTTAAATCGTTTTTATCTTAGTAATATGAACCAGCACTCTCCAGTTTAGTGCTCTAAATGAAATAGAAGATTTTCTGAAAAGGCACTGCCTTTTCCACAATCTTCACACTGTTAGGATTTAGTTTAGATTGAAACGCTAGATTCCGTCTGCTACCCATATTATTATTAACAATAATTAATAATAGTAATAAAAAAACCTTGTATTATTTTAAAGAACAAACGTTGGCAGCAGTTCTTTTAGCCCGCTGATGTAATTTTTACTTTACTAAGCATCGCTATGTTAATATAAAACATAACAGACGCTTTTCATCAGGGATGCTGTTTGATTGCCCTTGACAAGTGATCTTATGATATCAAAGCAGAAACCTCCTATTTTCCTATTTACACATATTGCAATTTTTTCAATTTGCCTTCCCGATAAGACACACACAGGCTTCGACCCTACAGGGAAAAACGTTTTCACGCCAGATACGTGCTGCACATCAATTACGTGCATTGCGTCCCCTGCTTTTTAAACAGTTAACTGCTTTTATGGTCTGTGGGAATTCAAACGTTTCAGGGCTGTGTAAGAGAACTTCATTTTAAAACCGATTCTACAGAGGGCCTTGCATAGATCTCGCACTATCTACTTTATAAAGGGTTGCTAAAATATATATCTCACACCACTGTAAGACAACGCAGCCTTCTGAATTGCTCCGGCCAACGAATAACTGCGATCTGAGCAGGTAAAGAATGTAAGAATAAAAGGTTTCAGTGACTAAAATATAAACGATTACAATACACAATTATATACAGCACTGTACCTAAATCAAGTAGTCGATCTGTTGGCCAGAAACAAATAGAAATGCAGAACATGCTGTATCAAAATTTACGACATTACTGACAAAACTAGGACAATGAAAGTGGAGAAGCGTCTGGGGAGAAATACAGTGAGAGACTAGAGACTTTAGAACTTAATGGATCTGTATTCTGTAACGAAAGAAAAGATAAATTGTAGTTAATTGTAGTTTAATCCCTGCCAAAGTCGACCGAATAGATCTGCTAACTAAAGCCCGCGCTGGTCCGTCAGTGCGGTTTACCCCTTTGGCCATGAGTAAAGCAGATGTGTAGTTTTTGTCCCAAATCGACATATTAATTAGCCTTCCAGATCCCGTTGTTTAGTCTATATACAGTTGTGCAATTTGAGTGATTTGGATTCTTTTTAAAATTACATTATTTTTGCTTATTTTAATTTTCTGGGTGACTCCAGTGAGAGGTCACTCGAGTCACCGAGAAAACGAAAATAAATAAGTTACTCTTTTTTATTCTGGATGTATCACGGACGTGTAGACCTCATGTCGGTGATGCCTTTTTGAGAACTGTGGCGATGCCGTCACCGACTGCAGCTTTTGGCGACCGACGCTTTGTGAGGCTCCAGCTTCTGGCGACGAGACGACGATGGAAAAGCCAATATCTGACATGTATGTGACCTCGCAGCTCAAGTCACATGTATCTACGTTCCCATCCCCAAAAAAACACATCACACACTCCTGAACAGCATGAAAGAACCATCAAGTTCAAGTTTAAAGCAAGAGGTCTTTGTTTTCGTCATAATCTAAACACTACGCACGTGTGTGGTAACAATCAGAGATGAAAACGCGACGCACGTGACCCCTTTCTTTGTTTGATATATAATCTTCCTGCAAATTGAAGCCATTTGTTTCAACTCCACCCCAAATGGCTCACACATATAAAAGGGAGCGCAGTCCTTCTGCTGAGGTTAACTGTAGACTGAACTGCAGCTCAGACCCTGCCCATTTTATATCTTTTGAGGAAATTTAAGGAAGTAGATTTTCAACGTGGAGCAACTATCGAGCTGTCAAATTTCCTGCTTTTGACACGGGCACTTTTTATGCTTTTGACCCCTGCTGAACCAGTTTCCCTAGTCTGACAAAGACTGTAAATGTGGTCCGCAGGCGTTAAACTATTGCTGACATAGGTTTCAGACTGTGTATATCTGGAGTGCCGAGGCACAGGGAAATAAGCAAAACTGCTTTCCCCGAAGAACTAAGCTGTAGGAAAACAATTCTTCGTATCCGTGTAGTGACCTTTTCCACCTTGAGAAAATGTGTATTTTCTTATTCTAAAACACAGCCACAAACACAATAGCAACTGACCCTCACACTTTTTTTTTTCTTTACAAGAATCTCGAGCTGTGTACAAAAGATCATAGGGTTTATATCCCTGCCAGGTATCACATTTCTTTATTTATCACGATCTGATGAAATCAGCCTATAGGAACTGGTGGGGAGTGGGACAAAAAAACAAGGCTGTTCACTATTGTATGATGATAATTACGTTATGCTCAACAAATCACATCAGTTTTAGTCAAGGGCACAAGCAGAGTATCTCAGATATTCTCAGACTCTTTACAGCTAATCTGCATTAATCAGTTTTTCAGGGTTTACATGCTTATTTTTGATTGTGCCGCAGAAAACAATTGCTTGATCATGAGCTTAATCCTAAGGAATTGTAAGCACGGTAATACACATTAGCAAAGAATTCCTTTAATTCGAGTAATATTATGATAAAAATCTGGTTTGGCGTTTTCAAACTGGGATTAATCCTTATATTTAAGAATATGGCAATGGGGCTCGATTTAGCATGAAAGCAAGCCACCAGATAGCCATCCTGAGCCTCAGCAGGAAGTAACTCATCTGTGCACATGGTCTTGAGAGATCCAGAAGGACAGTCACATGGGGCAGATTTCACTGCGGTGGCCTGACCTGAGTCATTGCTGGGTGGGACAGAGTAGACATTATTTGGGGTGAGCTCAGTGTAGTAAAGTGATATATATATAAATAAATGTATAAGTATTATTTGGAATTGCAGCAATAGTCCATCAGATGGGTCTACCCCATTTTCCTAAGTTGTAGGAGTCACCCTGGCTGTTATAGTTTTGGCACCAGAAAGCAAAGGAGAAAACCAGGAAGAACCAGGGAGCTTGAGGTCAGTTGAGGGGAGCTAGCGTGAGAGTGAGAGGTCGGATCAGTAGTGTAATGTTCTGTACAACCAAACTTAACTTTAATTTGGGAAGCACTGACATAGACAAGCCCGTGAATATCCTCTTAGAAGCAGCAGCTCTGAGGTAGGACCATGCAACTTAAAGTCCATACAAGAGCCACAGTGACTCATCTGACCAGACCTCATCCTGACTAAATATAATAGGCTTCATGAAATAATAAATACACCATTGCTTCCAAATTGTAAAAATCTAATCATGGAATTTGCCTGTTCCTATCAGTCCTGACAAGGCTCCCAGTCCTTGCCGATCAGAAGTAGGACTATATTTTAATGATGCCACCATCATGCTTGACAGTAAAGGTAGACTATGGTGGGTTTGCATCAGATGTAACACTTGCATTTAGACTAAACAGTTTCTTTCTGTCCGACCACAAAACATATTGCACATGTTTGCAGCATCAATTATATGCTTGTTTGCAAACCTCAGTCAGGATCTGAGATTGTTTTTCAGTTCCACACAGGTCCTCTCTGTGGGGATGACCCATGGACATTTTCCCAGCTCAGCCACTGAAGTCTGTATCTCTTTCAAAGACGCCATTGGCTCTACAGCGGCATCCCTAACAAATTTTTAATTTGCCCGTCTGCTCAATTTAGAGGGACACCGACTGAGGCAGTGTCTGGGTGCTGTGATCAAAGAGATATTGTGGGTCTATGAAATGCCTTATACCCTTATTTTCATCTGTGCCTTATCCAACTTTACCCCTGAGTTATTTTGAAAGCAACTTGGTCTTATCGATTGCATCTTTACTTGAAATTCACTATGTGACTGAGGGACCTTAAATAAAAAAAGTGTTTTTTTTCATGTGATCCACTATTGTTGCACATAGACAGAAGGCACTCAACTAATTCTGTGGCTTGTTAGGGTTGTTATGTACACCTAAAGTAATTTAGGTTTTTCCCCAGTAAAGTTTGAATATTCCATTTTTCTTTCAATATCAATTAACTATGTCTCTCTTTTTGGTTTTTGCTGGGATGGTGTGGAGCACGTGGCACATATAACACATGTTAATCACTGCTTCAAAGTCTCATGCCTGTGAGATTTAAATTTTGAAAACTGCACGGCTCCTTCTGCAAGTCACTATATTACAAATTAAAACATAGACTCCCGTTTCAATGAGAAATAACTGGCTTGACTTTATGACAATAATTTCCTCGTGAAATATGAGCTGTTGCAGTGAACAGAGCTGTTCAATATTTGGCTCAGTGCAAGAAAGAGCTGGATGAGCTTTCTGATCCAGACTTTTCAAAGAGAATCTTTTTTAATCCCATGGCACAGCACTGTGCTGCAGCACACAGTGTGAGAAGCACCGCTAAACACCTGTGCGTGGTGAGAGAAAGGAAGGGAACTTACAAGGATTTGGGAAACAAATGGACATGTTTTTTGGGACAAGGGAGCAGGAATCAGCTTCAGTCATCACCGGATAAAAAAGCCATTTGTTTTCAAATGCGGCTCTGGTGTCCTAACCAAACTTAGCAAAAAAGATCCTGTCTTACAAAAAGGGCTGGGTTTTCCCCCATACTAAGATGTTCTCAAAATTCCCCTTTTATTTTTGCATAAGGATTTAAGGAATGTGTCACATGAAATTAAAAGCTTCGGGAGACTATAAAGAAAAAAAAAACCCTCTTATGTGAAACCAAAATATAAAGCTCAGGACTGAAGTCACTAACCATGAAAGGCCCTGGGGACTTCAGGTGTCACGGTCCTACACTGATGTCTGGAGTTGTGCACCTAGACACCAGCAATAAGAATGACATTGAGAAGCCCTGTGGGAAGCAGAAGGAATCAGTGGATGTTTGAGTGTGGGATTTCTAAAAACCACTTTGCAGTGGCGGACCACACACTGGAATCTGGCAGAGCATCAGAAACTTGTGTGCCGTCTGTGGAATCGACATTTTAAGTTCAGTAATTGGGTAGCGCGCTCTTTGCCAGCGACGTGGTGCTGGGGTTCAGTTGAGGTTGTTGGAAATTTACTTAATATCATAATTATGAGCGGATTAACGGGGATCGGGAATGAAAGGAACAGGGAGCCAGTGGCAATCCAGCCAGGAAAGAAACTGAGTGTGATGTTTTTCAGTGCTGCGCACAAATCACAGGGCAATTAGGATATGGCACATATTTGAATCAACGTGGGAAAGCAAAATTCAGCTCCAGTTTGTATTCAACATTTTTCATGGCTATTTCTCCTGCACTGTCCAACCTCCCTTGTCGACTCTGTGCGAGACAGAAATTCCATCCATACACACTCGGTGCAAAAGACGAGTTTAAACCAGATTCACCATACAGTTTTCTGTTAGATAAATGACACCTATTTGAATGTCTCACAGATCTGCGTAGAATGTGAAGGCGAGTTCTGGAATATACCCCAGCCTCTACAAACACACTGTATTCTTTATGGTTTTAAAAAAAAAAAGATCCTCTTTCAATCCTTGAGATTAAGGGCATCATTCAATATCATAATAATTGAGATTATCTGACCAGTTGGACCATACATGTGCAAGAAAAACATACAAAACAGTCAATTACAATATAAAGAGTGTTTTTAATGACTCATTAAAATCACATATAATTTTATATATTGAAATAATAAAATAATTACTGTATATCACTCTTGGCTAATTTAGGGAACAGGATTTGTGTTTACCTGTAGAAATGCGAATTAACTTTGGATCTTTTCTAACCTATTTGCAAACCAGAGTTTAAAATAGCATCTGGGCAAAAACACA